TTTTTATTTTTTTAGAAATTTAAAATAAGTTCTTCATTTAGTACAGAAAGTATGCAAACACAGCCATCAGAGTCTTTAAAAATGTACAAAATTTTATTTTAATAAATTATTTTTTATTATTTTATTTTATTTACCTTTGATTTTCAGCACTGAAAACATACCCCATACCCATTTATTTTATTTTATTTTAAAATTTAACTTAATTTTTTTTTTTCATTTGTACTTTTTTAAATGTTGTACCTTTCTGCAAAATAGAGTTAAAACCTACTTTAATTAAATTACATTTTATTTTATTTTCAGAGCTAAAAACATCCCCCATATCTGTGTACTTAGGACCACATAGTATGCAAAAACTAGTTTGCCAGATCACTTGTGCTTGTGTTTTCAGGGCGACGTGGCGAACGAGGTGGAGACGGAGCAGATCATCCACGACGCTTCGGTCATGTCGTTGACGGCGGGCAGTTTCTCCTCCTGTGTTCAGGTCCGAGGCTCGGTTCCTCTGTACTGGTCCCAGGACATCTCCACCATGATGCCCAAACCACCCATACGCTGTAAGAGCCACTTCCTGTCCATGACCTCACCACTACTTCCTGTTTATTTGCTCAAAACGGTGCCTTCACCCTCCTTCAGGACAGGGAGGGACGTTTTCTAAAAGAGAAAAAAAATCTGCTAATTGTTTGTTTGGTCAGTTTTTAGGAGCTCGAAGCTACAGACATGAATGATTTTACAGGTTCTTTAAATGTGCAATGTTAGATTTGAACTTTCAGAAAGTGTGTCCTGTATAAAAACATCTAGTCGGACGCTGAAATGCCAGATTTTGAATACGGATGTTTTCATGATCCTGGTTTATATAGATGAACCGTCTCTGACCCCAAAGTCAGACAAAACAAAGTCTGCGCCCGGTTCACACTGATGCACATTCATGTGTGGTTGATGCTGTGTGTGTGTGAGTCAGCATTGTTGATTTATCATGATTTTATAATTTTACAGTTGCTTTACACATGCAATGCTGCAAAATACAGCTAAAACCTACTTTTTTTAATTTTATTAATTTTAATACATTTAAGTACATTTTATTTTATTACTTTTATTTATTAATTTTTTTTGTACCCTTCTGAAAAATACAGTTAAAACCTGCATGTTTTATTTTATATTTTATTTTTTTTAATTATTTTTATTATTACTATTGTTATCTTTTGTACCCTTCTGCAAAATGTAGTTAAAATACTTTACTTATTATTTTAAATGCTTATTTATTATTTTATTTATTTATTCCTTTTTTTATGGGAGTGTTTTCCACATACCATGCTGCAAAATACTGCAAAAACATAACTTTATTTTTAATTTAATTTATTTATTTTAATAATTATGTTTTTCTTTGAGCCTTCTGCAAAACACAGTTAACTGTTATTAGTTCCTTTTATTTTTTCAATTTTATATATTTTTTATTTTGTACTCTTCTGCAAAATAGATAAAA